GTAAGTGCCAAGCCTAACCTCGGTTGGGCAGTGACGAGGAAGGTCAGGGCCCTACTGAGATAAAATATAATAATAAGCCTTGCAACAGTATGAAGTAAACAGAAATAATGAATAAAACTATGAAGTAAGACAAGTTATACGAAGCAACAATAACACGCAGAGAATAAGGTAACACAGAATAAAACAGCTCAATATCAGTACCAACAACGAGGATCTCCCAGGATACCGTCCCGTAGTCCATCATATGAGTATATCCGAAGGATCTCCCGGGATACCGTCCCGTAGTCCAACTATCAATGTGCGGGGGATCTACCGGGAATCTAACCCGTAGTCCCAAAGTAAAAGTGCAGGGGGATCTACCGAGAATCTAACCCGTTGTCCCAAAGTAAACAAACAAGGGGGAGCTACCGGAATCCCACATCCGTAGTCCCAATGTAAATGCGCAACCACAACCAGAAGATATTCAGAAATGAATTACAAAAGTACAAGCAACACGTAGTACTAGCCTAACATGCTTCACGTAGTACAGTCAAGGCAACTTAAGCAAGTAGGCAATTTAAATCAACTAACAGGCTTTTCTAATCTAACACAGGTTATAATTGCGACTAGAAATAAAGCAAATACGAAAGAAACTCAGTCTTAATATCTTAAGTAAAACTGGATTTTCAACAATTAGCTCAAGTACGCACTCGTCACCTCACGTACAAGGCATTCAATTACCAAATATCATATCCTAAGGGGAAAGGTCCCCCACACAAGGTTAGACAAGCCACTTACCTCAAACCGGCTCCAAAATCAACTCGAAACCACACTTTTGCCACGAGTATCCGACTCCAAATGGCCCAAATCTATTCAATTCAATTACATATCGTAAATAACATCTCAAGCAACTGATTCTACGATTTAATTCAAAGCTAAGATGCGAAATTAGATAAATTGACCAAAACGCCCCTCAGGCTAACGTCTCGGAATCGGATAAATTTTACATTTTCAGNTTTCAATGTAAAGGCAACATCTTGCTTAATTTTGAGTTAGCGTGAAGATCAGTAGGCATGTAAATGTCGGCACAGCAAGGGAAGGAGAAAACCTAAAACAGTTTAGTATGTTTATTTTCTTGTGCAAACCTTGAGCTCAGACTTCTTTAAAGTCTTGATCACAAATCTATCATCCCGAGAAAGATAGAAAAGGCTGCCACTCTTTCCAGGAGACGAAAGCTCTCTCAGACCATCATCACCACAGATGGACATCATATACTCTGCCGCATCCAGCTTGAACAACTCTCTCAAATATCTGAACATGACATTTTATATAGTCAGACAAATGACTCAAACTCTACAGTAACTCATATAGAGCAATAAGAACAGAGAATAAAACAGCTCAATATCAGTACCAACAACGAGGATCTCCCAGGATACCGTCCCGTAGTCCATCATATGAGTATATCCGAAGGATCTCCCGGGATACCGTCCCGTAGTCCAACTTTCAATGTGCGGGGGATCTACCGGGAATCTAACCCGTAGTCCCAAAGTAAAAGTGCAGGGGGATCTACTGGGAATCTAACCCGTTGTCCCAAAGTAAACAAACAAGGGGGAGCTACCGGAATCCCACATCCGTAGTCCCAATGTAAATGCGCAACCACAACCAGAAGATATTCAGAAATAAAGTACAAAAGTACAAGCAACAGGTAGTACTAGCCTAACATGCTTCACGTAGTACAGTCTAGGCAACTTAAGCAAGTAGGCAATTTAAATCAACTATCATGCTTTTCTAATCTAACACAGGTTATAATTGCAAGTAGAATAAAGCAAATACGAAAGAAACTCAGTCTCAATATCTTAAGTAAAATCGGGTTTTCAACAATTAGCTCAAGTACGCGCTCGTCACCTCACGTACAAGGCATTCAATTACCAAATATCATATCCTAAGGGGAAAGGTCCCCCACACAAGGTTAGACAAGCCACTTACCTCAAACCGGCTCCAAAATCAACTCGAAACCACACTTTTGCCACGAGTATCCGACTCCAAATGGCCCAAATCTATTCAATTCAATTACATATCGTAAATAACATCTCAAGCAACTGATTCTACGATTTAATTCAAAGCTAAGATGCGAAATTAGATAAATTGACCAAAACGCCCCTCAGGCTAACGTCTCGGAATCGGATAAATTTTACATTTTCAGAACCCTCATACTCTCACGAGTCTAACCATACAAAAATCACTCAAATCCGAGGTCAAACACCCACTCAAAACTCAATAACTTGGCCTATGAAGTTTTACCCATTTTTCATTCAAAAATCCGAAATTAAGGAGGAATTCGTAATTAGATTAGTGGGTTTTAAGCATAAGAGAGTAGAGAGTCGTTACCCAGTTGTTGCCTTCGAAAATCCCTCGAAATTTCTCCCAAGTCCGAGCTCCCAAGCTTGTGTTTTGATAAAAATGGCTAACCCTCAGTTTTGAATTGTTTATTACTGCCCAGGTATTTGTTCAATGCGATCGCGTGAAATTGAACGCGATCGTGAAGGGTAAATTTTTAAAGGTTCAAAACTGGGCTACGCGAACGCGTCCCTAGGCCTGCGATCGCAGAAGAGAAGGAAATAGCTGTACGCGATCGCGAAGAAGAAAATGCAAGGAATTACCAGGTCCAAATTTCTACTATGCGAACATGGGAGGACAATTGCGATCGCGAAGAAGGGAAAAGATGACCTCCGCGATCGCGAACGAGATAATGCGATAGCGTAGAACAAAAATATCACCCTCCGAATTTGCACTATACGATCGCGTAAGGGAAGCTGCGATCGCAGAGAAGAATAGTCTGCAGCAGACCTGGGCAAAATCCTGCAACTTTTTACAACTCAAAATTGCTCCGTTGAGCACCCGAAACACACCCGAGGCCCCCGGGACCTCAACCAAACCTACGGACATATCCCATAACATCATTCAAACTTGCACCAACCCTTTAACCACCTAAAACAACGTTGGAAAGTCGAATTAACCAATGATTTAAGCCTAAGAACTTCAAATTCTAACAAAACACGCTTTCGATCAAAAACCTAACCAAACCTCGTCCGAATGACCTGAAATTTTGCACACACGTCCCAAATGGCATGACGGAGCTACTGCAACTTCCGGAATTCCATTCCGACCCTCGGATCAAAATCTCACTATCGAACCGGAAATTTCAAAATTCCAACTTTCGGCAATTCAAGCCTAAATTAGCTACGGACCTCCAAGACACGTTCCGAACACGCTCCCAACCCCGAAATCACCTAACAAAGCTAACGGAACTATCGGATTTCCGTTCCGAGGCCGTCTTCACACGTTCTGACTATGGACCATTTTCCAACACTTAAGCTCTCATTTAGGGACTAAGTGTCCCAAAACTCTTCGAAACTCAAAACCGAACATCCCGGCAAATCAAAATAGCAGAAATAAACTTGGGGAAAGCAATAATTAGGGGATCGGGGCATTATTCTTAAGACGACCGACCGGGTCATCACAGAGGTTTAAACACAAAGAAAAATCAGTTTAAACAAGTGTAGAAGAAACTCCGAGAAACCCTAACTTTAAAGAAAGTTAAAACGGCTTAAAGTTGAAGATTTTTAAAGAGAGGTCTGAGAACAGTGTAGAACATAGGAAGAAACAGACTTGAATCGTTAAAAATAGCACATATCTAAGAGATTCAAACAAAAGTTAGGGTTTCAAAGGAAAACCAGATAGAAACGGAAGAACCTGCTATAAAGTTCAAAGATCGTAATAAATATGGTGTGATTTTGCCCAAATCACACTGGAGAAGCCATGAACAACCAAAACAGCAACCCAAGACATAAGTCGGCATGGCCCAGGGCCCTTGAAGGCCTCAGAGATGATGAGCAAGGCGAGGGGGAAACCATTGGAGGCTTAGGGTTGAAAGGGGGTCGTTGGAGATGGCCGGAGAGGGAGGCGGTGGTTGAAGAAGGCTATGGTTAGGTTGAGAGAAGAGAGAAGACCAGAGAATTCAAAGGCGGCGGGAGTTTGGAAATGATTTAAGGTTGGGGGGTTGTATGAATTAAAAAGGATAGAACAAATGAGGGTCGTTGATCTTTTAGATCAACGGCCAGGATCTGATGGGTTTTGGGTCGGGTAGGAAGTGTTTGGGGACTGGGTCGGGTTATTTAATAGGAGATTGGGCTGGGATTAGGTTCAATTAGGCTAAAATTGAAAGCCAAATCTGGCTATGATTTAAATAGCTAATTTTCCCTATTTTAATTTTAATAAATAATAAAATAGTTTCTGAAAATAATTTTTCTATACCAAAATGATTTAAAATATATAATTATTATTTTAAAAATATCGGGNAGGGACCAATTTTACACGTATAAAATATAATTATACATTAAAATGGGCTATCATTGCAATTATATGCAATTTAGCTTGAAAAATACCAAATGTAATTATGAAAATGCATAAAAATTATATTAATTACATTTTGGTATAAGTATAGAAATTAAATGAATAAATCATCATAACAATAATTTGGAAAATAATTATTGGGGTTTTATGAATAAAAGGGGAGAAAATAAATCAATTTAAATCCTTAAAATTATGGGAAAAATTATAAAACCTTGTGCATGCTTATATATTTATATATATGCTATTTTGAAGGTATTTATGCATATTTAAAATATATAGGAAAAAATTGGGTATCAACACATGGTGTCCTTAACTTTGATATGTGCATTGTAAAAGTTAAGGACATGGTGTCCTTAACTTTGATGTGTGCAGTGAAAATATTAAGGACATGGTGTCCTTAACTTGGATGTGTGTAGTGAAAAAGTTAAGGACATGGTGTCCTTAACTTTGATGTGTGCATTGTAAAAGTTAAGGACAATTTGTCCTTAACTTTGATGTGTGCAGTGAAAATGTTAAGGACAATCTGTCCTTAACTTTGATGTGTGCAGTGTAAATGTTAAGGATTTGGTATCCTGTATTTTTAACCTTCTGTTAAACTATATTTTCAGGTTTCTTTATATGTTTATGCATATGGATCATCAATAGCTTGTTGGAATCATTGTACAGTGATTGCAATTGATGCAACTTTTTTGAAGTCAAAATATCGTGGTGTTTTAATGATTTATGTTTCAAAGGATGCAAATAATCAAATATTCCCACTAGCCTTTGGAATTGTAGAATCTGAAAATAACAATTCCTATGAGTTGTACTTTAGTGAGCTTCGCAATGCAATTCGGAGCCGTGACAATTTAATTTTTTTATCAGACAGGCATCAATCTATTGCACATGGCATCGCAGTATATACTGAAAGCCACCATGGGATTTGTATCTATCATTTGGAGTATAACCTAAAGCGAAGAAAAGTGAAAAATGAGATCATAAAACTTTTCCAAAGTGTTGCAAGAGTATACAGGCGCGAAGAATTTGATCTGTACATGTCAGATATAGCAAAATTTAATAAGAAGACTTTTGACTACTTGATGGAAGAACCACCGGAAAGGTGGGCACGTTCTTGTAGTCCACGACGAATATATGACATGCTCACAACAAACATAGTTGAGTCAATGAATTCTGTGCTATTAGAAGCAAGGGAGCTGCCTATATTAAGAATGATGGATTTCATCCAAGTGAAGCTACAACGTTGGTTTTATAAAAGAAGAGAAGCAAAAGGAACTTTTTATGACGTTTCTTGTTGGGTAGAAGAGGAATTGAAGAAAAAGATAGATTTAGCTTTTACTTTAAATGTAAGTATTATGTTCTTACTTTAGCTTATTATTTTAATGATAATTTAACTTAATGTACTAACTTATAGTTTTTCAACTTTGAAGGTATTCCCTGTTGATTCATGGCATTCTAGAGTTGGGGAAGAAGGAATTACTTTCTTGGTGGACTTAAACAAAAGAACATGTGATTTTTTTCAGTTTAAATTTGATGAATTACCATGTACACATGCAATTGCAGCTATCGAGAAGAGAAACATCAAGAAGTCCAATTTTCTGCTCGGACTGGTACCTAAAGGAATCTTGGCTGAAAACATATGAAAGACAAATACATCCTGTAGGACATACAGATTCTTGAATTGTACCAGAGAGTGTTAAGTCAAAAGTTATTAAACCTCCAGATTTCAAAGTCCCGCCAGGTAGAAGGCAGAAGAAAGGGCACATTCTAGCTACCGAATCATCAAAAATAACATTCAAATGTGGTCGTTGCAGAAGAATTGGTCATAATAGAACATCTTGTATATATTCTCCGGTAGTACATCCATTTTCAGGGAAACCTAGAGAATAATAGATATATCCATTTATGTTTATCTACTCTTTTAAGTTTTTGCTACAAATTGGATTCATTTAGATTGTTTTCATTTGAGCAAGTAAACATTAGCAAATGGTTACATAAAAGATGTCCTGAATTTTCAAAGTTTCTTTGCGCTTACGTGCTCTTTGTTTCTTTTTCTTTTTCTGGGAGTTCATTTTACCTTTGTCGGACCAATTATTGTTTATGGGTTTTACTCTTGTCGTAAGTAAACAAGAAAGTCCTTTCTTTATATAATTTGACGCCTGCAGCTTCCTACATCTTTATTTTTAAAATCAGATCGGTACAAGTAAAACTTAAGGACATAATTTTTTAAAAGTACTGAAAATTTGAAGTATGAATCTAATATTAAGGACATAAATTTCTAAAATGTCCTTAACTTCTGGAAATCTCAGATAATTGTCTAGATTTCCAGAAGTTCAGGACATTTCCGAAAAATATGTCCTGAATATTATTTTCATCCTTCAACAAATCAGGACGTTTATGAACATTATGTCCTGAAGTTCTACAACAATCAATGTATCTTTTGCTATATCTCTACAGATTTAATAAAAGACTGGCAATTTAAAATGGACAAATCAGTAGTTATAAAACTTGACATCTGCAGCTTGCTAAACACAACTTGCTACATCTTATTTTTAAAATGAGATTGATACAAGTAGACTTCATGACATAATTTTTTGAAACATCCTGAACATTTGAAGTATGAATCTAATATATAGGACATAAATTTCTAAAATGTCCTTAACTTCTGGAAATCTCAGTTTATTATCTATATTTCCAGAATTTTAGCACATTTAAAAAATATGTCCTGAATATTATTTTCATCCTTCAACAAAGCAGGATGCAGTTAACAGATCCTGAATTTCTACAACAATCAATGTGTGTTGCTTTGAATTTCTAAAAATTTCAAGATAATTTAATCAAAGATTGGCCCTTTAAAACTGTGAAAGAATGAAAATCAATAGTTAACAGAAAGAAAGAAATTAATAACATGATGTCTTCATATTACTGCTGAAACTATAATTTGGCATAGTTGTGACCAAAAAATTATGCTATGCAAATAAAATAAAGTGCCTTCTGAACAATTTACAGGATATTTCAGAATTCATATGGATTCTTTAAAACAATTTTATACCAAGTCAACTACAACTGACTTTCTTTACAACTACACTACAGTTCCTTTGGGCAAGAAGTTTCATTTTCACTATCATAGTTGTCGCCGACATTTTCTGGTGGTGTATCATAACTAGAATTTCTTTTCCAATGTGCCCAAAGATTTGCTGTAAGTTCTTTTCTGAAGTTTGATATGTCTTCAGGTTGGAATTTCTCCACATCATTTCCCATCATCAACAACTCCGCATACTTGATTAGGAATGCACCACAATCAGTCCTGAGAAAAATGTAAGATATGGAGTCAATTAAACAATATCTTTAATAAAATAAATCTAAAGTACATATAAATTATTTAGCAAATGACGACACGTACGATCTAGTTTGGTGTGGTGATCTTTGCCACTGAATATCAAATTTGTTGAATGCATTTCCAAAAGACTTGTGATTTTTCTCAAACAGTGAGAACTTTAGCAAGTGGGGGATCATGCGTGCATACATTTCAATGTGTTTCATTCCTTGTTCATATGGATCACTATATATGGAGTCGTACACATCAATCTTCCTCTCATTCAAGTCCAATACCCCCAAAAGAAAATGTGTCACAGCATCATTATCTTCTGAAGGAAGCCGACATGGAAAAAAGATTTTGTCAACCTCTGTCCAAGCAATTCCACATCTACGATTGTCACCACACACATATGGTGTGAGAACCAATTGATTATCACCACACCAAAACTCATCCGAAGCATCTTCATTGAAATACTTATACACAAGTAGGATATAGTTATCAAAAAGTATATCTGTAGTTGTGCAACGAAAAGAATGGGCACAAGGGTGGTAGCATTCCTTCTTCCTCAAATAATACAGAGCAATGTCAATATGCTTCATAAAAAGGCAAAAAAAGAAAAAAAAATCCATCAGTCATAAATAATTAAAAAAACAATAAATTGAGAGAAAGAAAATAAATGCCTTGTGAATTATCAAACCATAGCATCAAGTACAAAGCTACTAACCCAAAGCTCAAGGAAGAATATTTTGCTACTGATTTTTTGATGGTACAATTTATATGGATTCTTTCTCACACCATTACCCTCAGCATATATTATCAGTTTGTCCCCTGGAAATTTTGAAAATATCAAAGTTAGAAAGTTTATAAGTTAGTCCTCAATTCCTAATTAAGGACACTTAGTACTGAACGTACAGTAACAAGGTTATAACTTTAGGACACTTGGTCCTGAAGTTAGAGTTGCAAATTCAAAAATTAAGGATAGGCAGTCCTTAACTTACAGTTACAAGTTCAAAAGTTAAGGGCACTTGGTCCTGAACTTAGACTTACAAGCTCATAAATTAAAGGATAATTAGTCCTGAATTTAGAGTAACAAGCTCATAAGTTAAGGACAATTGGTCCTGAAGTTAGAGTGGAAGTTCATAAATTAAGGATACTTGGTCCTAAAGTTAGAGTTGCAAATTCAAAAATTAAGGACAGGTAGTCCTTAACTTACAGTTACAAGTTCAAAAGTTAAGGACACTTGGTCCTGAACTTAGACTTACAAGCTCATAAATTAAAGGATAATTAGTCCTGAACTTAGAGTAACAAGCTCATAAGTTAAGGACAATTGGTCCTAAACTTAGAGTGAAAGTTCAAAAATTAAGGACACTTGGTCCTGAAGTTAGAGTTGCAAATTTAAAAATTAAGGACAGGTAGTCCTTAACTTACAGTTACAAGTTCAAAAGTTAAGGACACTTGGTCCTGAACTTAGACTTACAAGCTCATAAATTAAAGGACAATTAGTCTTGACCTTAGAGTAACAAGCTCATAAGTTAAGGAAAATTGGTCCTGAAGTTAGAGTGGAAGTTCAAAAATTAAGGACACTTGGTCCTGAAGTTAGAGTTGCAAATTCAAAAATTAAGGACAGGTAGTCATTAACTTACAGTAACAAGTTAAAAAGTTAAGGACACTTGGTCCTGAATTTAGACTTACAAGCTCATAACTTAAAGGTCAATTAGTCCTGAACTTAGGGTAACAAGCTCATAAGTTAAAGACATTTAGTCATGAAGTTAGACTTAGAAGCTCAATACACTTAGTCCTGAATTTAAAATTACAAGTTCAAGACACAAATGTAAGCAATTAAGAAATAATAAATACATTTAGGGACTTACATTTTTTTGCGACCTTTCCTTTCTCCTTGCCCAACCACACAATGAATTTCTTCAATAAGTTTTCATCATCTTTGGCATAATGAAAAATACATGTACGAGTATATTTTGATTTTATCCAGCCCGTATACACGGGAGTATTTTCATTCTGCGCCATCGATGTTCCTCTTTTTCTTTTCTGGTCAAAAGGAGATTTCAATTGCCAACTAAACTTCTTATTTATTTTCCCTCGACCAAGATCTTCTTCAACATTTTCTTCAACCTCCATAGACAAACCCTCATCAATGCTCATTTGTGTAGTCGGAGGAGTAGGAGTAAGAATAGCAAATGATGGACCATCAAAACCAATACTATCTCTCTTCTTTTTCATATTATATTGGTTAACGGCTTCATCTTTGCTTTTCTCTACAAGCAACACTACATATACATTAGTTTGCTGCAAGTCGTCAATTCTAGGATAAATTGACAAATGAAGAGACAAAAACCAAGGACATAAGTTTTGAAATTTCCTAACAATTTGAATTATGAATACAATATTAAAGACACAATCAATACCTGTGTTGGCCACACTGCCTTCTTGTATTTCTTTAACAGACAATGGAGCTGACATATTGGTTGCATTTTCTTTATCTTGCAACTTTTCTCCATGTTCTTCAATTGCAAGTTCACAAGATTCTGCAAAAATATTTACAAGAGCTAACACAATTAGTACTTGTTACTAATCTTTGATTAAAACAAACATGTATAAGATAAAAAAAAATCCGTCTAACCTTTCGCAACTGTCAAGATCATGCCAGTCAAATCATTATCTTGACTAGCATTTTTTTGGCTTCCAATATTTTCTGTAAGAGAGAGAGGTGTAGATATATCATATGTTCTTTCTATACATTTGCAAACAATCTCACTTATGCTTGTTCCTTGGGTATTTTCTATCTCTTGAGATTGTCCTCCACTTCTCTCTTTTGAAATTTCATCATCTTGATAGTCCACTCCATCTTCTTTCCTTACAGCTTCAAAAGATTCTGTAACATTTACAATTAATACTTGTTACTAATAGTTTACTAAAATTAACATTCAACATATCATGAAAATTTCGTCTAACCTTGATTGGCATCATTTTGAATTCCAAATTTCTCTTTAAGTGAGAGAGGTGTAGATAGATCATATATTTCTTCAACACATTTGCATACAATCTCTCTTATACTTGTTCCCAATGGATTTTCTAAATCCTGAGATTGCACTCCACACTTACAAATTATTTCTGTTACACTTGTCTCTTTTGGATTTTTCTGGTCTTGACATTCCACTCCATCTTGAACTTCCACTCCATCAAAAGATTTTACACATATTTGTAATCAAAAAAAAGTTTATATGTTTTACGCTATTGAATATATATTTCAATGACAACAAATTCAAAAACTGTATCTAACCTTTCCCAATTTTGATGCCAATATCA